AATGTTAGCTTTTATAATTATTTTTATTTATTTTAAAATTAATCAAAATTTCATTTAAAAATAATAAAAAGAACAAGAATTATGAAAATTACTACAAATTATTAATAAAACTAAATTTATTAAAAAATATTTGTTCATATTCAATTAACAATAATTATTTTTTATAAATCAACATTAAATGAAAAATAAAATTATTAAATCTTCCACATTTTACCGTGCATCGCACGGGTCCCTACTAGTCTTAATATAAATAGGATCAATGTCTGAGACCGGTATAGAATCAGGTATTAAATCAATATGTCCTTTTCCGGTTACATACGTCCCAATTCAGCTATAGGAAGCAGTAACCAGGCTAAGATTCATCCAAGTGGCACAGAAACCAGTCATGTAAAGAGAAGCTACATTCTAATGATTATGTCAATCTTGCCTATTTAAAGTGAAAATCCAGGGCATCATATAGAGACAAGCAATATCCTGCTCATACACCATGTGAAGCAGAATAATTTCATTGTAGTTTCATGTAGCATTTTAACCAACATTTCTCTTGTATGAAATGGGTTCACCATTACGATAAATGAAATGATTCACTTATGATTGTTGAAAAATGTAAGTGAGTTCATTTCTTGAAATCCAGAAATGACTGAATTCCAATATTTTATCAGCAACGAATGGATTCACCTTAGAAGTCATACTTGGATACTAAATATCAAGGAAAACGAAATGAGATCATTTTATTTCAAATGCTTCTTAACAAGCTACTAATAATTGGTCAATTATAATGTAGAAAGTCACAGAAAAGTTGAAACTATGAATGGGTCACAAGGATATGGATATGGCACACTTGCATCCAGTCTTAACAACGATATGGCATTTAACAGAATAGGATGGCAAAACAGGACTCATGCAGCCAACCCATAGGTTAAGGCTTGGATGATTATAGTTGTAGTCTACCCCTCCCAAGACCTCATATAGTTGGGACCAACATTGGGTAATGGCCTTTTTTTTTCCTACCAAGGTTGAGGTTTCTGGTCTTCTCACTGAAGCAAACATTGCCAGGAATTCATGCCTCAGTTCCCTGGGAAATGAAAGTGATTTAGCAAACACCATAAGATTGAATTTTTTTATCAGTAACAGGAATTTTATTAATAAAACAAAGTACAGCAATTACAGCCTCCTAGGGAAGGGGTAAACTCTCTTAACCCTTCCCAAGGATAAACATAATAATAGAAGAGGCAATTACAAACAAGCCCAGAATGAATGGACCCTTCCCACCCCTTGTTTGGCTAATGCATCTGCAAAGGAATTTGCACTCCGTTTGACCCATTGAAATCTTACTACCATATCCCTAGATAGCCAATTGAACTTCTTTTTTTCATTTGCATAATTCCATAGCCCAATCTCTTCTTTTTCTAGCCAACCAATAACTACTATGGAGTCACCTTCAATAATTAGACTATTAATATTTAATTCTTTTGCTCTTTTTAGACCTTCCAAAGCAGCCAATATTTCAGCCCTAAGAGAGTAACCTACACCAATTGATTCAGAAAACAAAGCCATCACTTTCCCTTCATTTCTGAAAACACCTCCAATACCCGAAGGCCCGGGGTTACCATCACTGTTTCCATCAAAATTGAGCTTTATAAACCCTTCAGCTGGTGGAGATCACATTGGACTACAAGCATCTTTCCATGGAGCTGATTCTGCCACTGCCTTCCAATTATTCAGCAGCAGCCCTGCTGGAATGTTCTCAAACAGTTTCAGTATCTTCATCCATTGCAAGACTCTTGCTGTAACCACCTCCAAAACAGTGCTTAAACTCCTTTCCTTATCCTGAAACACTCTTTGATTCCTTTCTTCCCAGACTGCCCAGCAAATAGCAGCTCTAGTGCACCTCCATAGAACTTTTCCCCTCTTCTTATAGCCACTAATAGACGAAGCAGCAAACAAGCTTTATATGTCCGGGGGGGAAATCCAACTGCACCCAACAAAGAAGCAAACCAATTCCAAATAGAAAAGGAAAAGGGCAAGAAATAAGCAGATGATAACAGTTCTCACCATTAGCTTTACACAAGATGCACCAGTTAGGGGACAAGCACCATGAAGGTCTTTTTCTTTGAAGCAAATCACTGGTATTAATCTTACCCAGAATAGCTTCCCAACAGAAAGCCCCTATTCTTGGTGGAATTAGCTTTCCCCACACTTCTTTAGCAGGAAAGGAGGACCCCGAAATAGGAGAAGGTTGAGTCAAAGCTCTAAAAAAAGAAGCACAAGAAAAAGAACCAGAAGGGGTTAAGGTCCAAAATCTACCATCTCTACTAGATGGGTCCAAAGAGATTCCTTGGACAATTGTGATCAAATCCAAAGCTTGGTTCAATTCTGAATCTTTAAGACCTCTCCTAAAACCCAAGTCCCAATCAAACCCTGAGTCTTGAGTCAGAAGGAATCAAAAAGGAAGAAATTGGCTCATTCTTAAAATCAGAGATAGCAAACAAGGTAGGAAATTGGACTTTCAGAGCTGACTCACCCAAGCAAACATGTTCCCAGAATTTAACAAGGTCCCCCAAACAAAGATTGTATCTGACAAAAGGTAGAAAGATGGAAGGACCGCATGTATAGCCTTCCAGGAAGAAGTACAAGTAACCTGAGGCAACACTCCAGCATCCCAACCATCTGCCAACAGCCCATGAATGCTAATAATCGCTTTAGCCCACAATTTATCCTTGTCCTGAGGTAGCCTCCACAGCCACTTCCCAAAGAGAGCCTGATTCCTCAATTGAATGTTGCCAATACCTAAACCTCCATCACCTCTACTCCTACAGACCATTTCCCAGTTGACTCTGTGATCCTTCTTCTCCTCCCTAGACTCCCATAAAAAATCTCTCATTAATTTTTCTACCCTCTTGTCCACACCCACTAGAATTTTAAAAACTAATAAAAAGTACACCGATAAGTTTGTCAGGGTAGATCTAATCAAATTTATTCGCCCTCCCAAAGATAAATGATTCTTCTTCCAGGTGGCCAGCCTTTTAGTGAGTCTATCTACCACCAGGTTCCAGAAGCTAATGTTCCTAGGGTAATCACCCAAAGGAAGTCCTAGGTACTTCATAGGCCACTGGGAGACTTCACAACCCAATAAAGAGGCACAAACCTGAAACTCCTCCTCACTCATATTCACCCCCACCACACAACTTTTGTTGAAATTAACTTTTAGATTTGATACCCTCTCAAACAAGTCCACCACCAGCTTCAAATTCCTTACCCTGTTAAGATCATTTCCTTCGCAAAACAAAATGGTGTCATCAGCAAACTGCAAGTGAATATCCGGAACCCTATCCCTGCCAACTCTCCATCCTCTCACTAGTCCTTTTGCATCAGCTGTCAATAAGCAACCCAAGCACCTCCGCAATGAGGGTAAACAAGAATGGAGAGAGGATCCCCTTGTCTAATTCCTCTAATGGCAGGGAAGTGATCCACTACAGTTCCATTCACCAATACTAAAGGCACCACTTAATCCATTTACACCACTTTTCTCCAAAACCAAAACTCCTCAGTAGAGTTCAACCCTAGATTAATCACTCCTCCCCCAAAAAATTCATTAAATACCACCTTAGCTATTATCTTATATAGGCTATTCACCAAACTAATGGGTCTAAACTCACTGGGCTGAACTGCATCAGTCTTCTTTGGAATAAGAGCGATAAAAGTAGAGTTCAACCCTAGATTAATCACTCCTCCCCCAAAAAATTCATTAAATACCTTCAGAATATCCATCTTTAAAATCTCCCAACAATCCTGGTAGAAAACCATAGTAAACCCATCAGGCCCCGGAGCCTTAGCCCTATCCATAGAGAAATTTGCTTCCTTAATTTCTTCATAATCAAAATGTCGTTCCAGCCGCATCTTGGAGTATTCCGAAATCCTTGGCCATTCCAATCCTTCTAGACTTATTCTCCCGCCTAAGCGCCATCTAAAAATAGATTTGAAATGATCCACAAAGGCCCTAGCTATTTCCCTATATTGAGTCAGATGTTCTCCATTAACCTCAAGTTTGGAAATACAATTCCTGTTTCTCCTAGCATTTGCCATTGCATGAAAAAATCTCGTATTTCTATCTCCTTCCTTTAACCACAAACATCTTGACTTCTGCCTCCAACTGATTTCTTCTTTAAATAGGATGTCCTCCAGTTGCTTTCTTAGTGCACATCTTTCAACTCTATCATTTTCCTTGAAATTTCCTTCCCCTTCCTTAGAATCCAAAGCCTCCATTTGAAACACCAACTCTTGCTTCTTTTCTTCTAGTCTATCAAATTGGTGGGTGTTCCAATTTTTTATTTTAGCCTTTAACTCCTTCAAGCTTCCTATGGAATTCCATACCCTCCCAAATGACATTCGGATTATACTCTGTCCACCAATCCCTGACCTTCTCTATAAACCCTGGGTATTTCAACCACATGTTCCCGAACCTGAACGGGGCAGGTCCTCTCCCTTGAATTTCTTCTTTGCAAATCAAAATTGGCCAATGATCTGAGGTAACCCTAGGCAAGGCCCTTGATACTAACCCCACCCCCCCAATGCTCTTCCCAATCCACTGAAAACAAAAATCTATCCAACTTGGAACAAGCTGGGTTTGATTGCAAATTTGGTTGAAGGAGATTTGTGCATTAACATGATGCAATTGGTGAAATTTGGTTGTTGATAGTAATAGATCAGATAGAATTCATGAAGTCAAATTTAATTACTGTACTCTAGCTAGAGGGGCAGGGAGATCTTTCTTGTTTTTCTGTCAATAAGTTGGTCGTCTTGTTTAGAAACAATTTAGCCTGCTTGATTCTCTGGTCCAGGCTGGGCTAGCATTACAATTTTCTATTTATTGTTCCACATCTGCCCATTAGTACAGCTTCCATTTTTTAATTGAGCATATGATATATTTTACTTACATTCTCAAAACAAATAAAGAGGTACAAATATGTTATACCCACATGCACAGAAATGAAGTTTACCTGAATGATGTATTCCATGAACAGTTGTAGATTCTATTGCCCGAAAATCTTCCACATCCTCTGCAATCTCTGGTGTCAAAGAATGCAAACCCCTTTGAACAGATTGTTTGTTTTGTTCACCTGAATTCAGGAGCATATAACTTCAGAAAACACACAAGCGCAAAAGAACCTGTAAAATTAAAAAACTAACCAGATAAATACCAGTTAAACAAGGAGCTGGCATAGCTACATCCAGAATGGCCACCATATTCTGCCTGGCTTGACCCGCCAACATTTGCACAATCCCATTAACATCAATAGCACCGGCAACATAATGTGAGTCTGTAGCTGACCCAATCGATTCCATTCGGAATGGGAGACTTATGGAATGCAGGGCAGCAGCATAAACTGCACTGCAATGGTAAGCCTTTGAATCTTCTATGCAAAGAAATGTAGACGCCTTACCTTTACAGTAACACAAGTTTGGTCAGCAGAAGAAAACAGTTGAACAAAAAACAAAATAGACCTAAGATTGCTCAAACTACATATAAATATGGTAACATCAGATGTACAAATGGATATTCGCCTCTATGTCAAATGGCTTGTTCAGGATGGTGCCTACATCAGACAATTACCTTGCCAATTGCTAGGGAACAGACAGAGATATGTAGTTTGTTTAGGAGAGTTCAGGCCCTGGAAGACAGCTACGAGGCTGTTTCGTACAGTTTGGTATTATGATTTTTATAACCAGGGTGTGTTAACCACTTCAAGTGGAGGTGGCTTTTCATATTAGTAGTACTTTTCTGATCATTGTTACTTATCAAAAGTATTATCAGCATATAAATAAAATAGCAATACTTAATTGCACATGCATAGAAGGAGAAATGCTGTATAAAGCATATAGAAAGACAACATTAATGATAGCATTTTTCCCCGTAAAAGAAATAAAAAATAAATAAAAACATTAACAGCACTCATGCAGATGTGGGACCCATATTGTGTGCATACCCCACAGGTAAGGAATTCTTTAATTGACACAATGACCCAAAATAGCAATACTTAAGTGCACATGCATAGGAGGACAAATGCTGGTATAAAGCATATAGAAAGACAATGCTAGTGATAACATTTTTCCCCTGTAAAAAATTAAAAAAAAAAAAAAAGATTAACAGCATTCATGCAGATATGGGACCCATATTGTGTGCATACCCCACAGATGAGGAATTCTTTAACTGACACAATGCCCCAACTGTGTGTGTAAGATGCACATGTATCCAGTACAATAAAAGGAGAGAGGAAAAAAAGGCATTATACCACTAGCATTGCTTATGCAGAAATAGTTCAAGTGCTGTAAGGGAAATACAGAACATAGTTTGAACACACAACAGAAAGGACATCAATCACTTAAAGCCACCTTTTTGTATACAAGAATTCTTACTTCTACTCAGGAAAGGCAATCCTATTGGCACAATCAATTTACTGAAGGAAGAGAGTCTTGAAAATGAGACCGCATCATGAAGAGCTTTTGAAATAGAGTCCTTCCGGCCTAAAGCATTCTTGTTGGTGGTTCCAGGACCTGGACCTCTTGCAGCATAAAGCAAAACTGGAGTGTTCGTATATTCATCTGCAATATTCTCCAAGAATTCTGCAGCTACACTGGAAAAACCTCCAGAATCATCAACAATAAATTGAATACCCTGTAAAGGCAGCATCAACTTTTAAGGATAGATAAAGCAAAGACTTATTCACCATACTTTTATCCATTTTTATGACCTAAACAATATTATTGGGTGGACATTTCTGGGATTGGATAATCTATCAAAACATCACAGACCTTAACAATGTGAATAGCCATGCAAAGCACATAAATAATGGAAGAATCCGGAATTTAATTGGTATGGGAACAAAACAAATAAAAACGCATTGCCCAAAACAATGTGACAGTCAAAGATTTCTTGAAACTTGACAGGAATCCTAAATTGGCCACAAAGACTTCTTCTAGGAGGACTAATATGGATTCCTTGATCAAGCTGGTGGTTGGGGATGCAACTTGGGCCAGGTTAGCCTGAACTGAACCTGAAAATTTCAGGTTGGGTTGGATCAGGATTGGGGTTGAAATGTATGAACCTGACTTTACTTCATATAACTATGTCCTTTTATATATAAACAATAATGCTAAAACTGAAATGTCCTCAACACTCAAGTCTAGGAAATAAGGACATTTGGCAAAAGTAGAAAAGTCAGGCCAACCCAAAGGGTTGGGGTTGGGGTTTCAATAGCTCAGGTTGGGTTAGGATTGACCAGTTGACCTCGCCTCACCCAACTAGCACCCCTACTAGTGGTTCTTGGAATCTCTATTACTAAGATTAAATAATATAAACAGAAATGTAGGGTCAACAAAATAGTGATCTTGGGTCTCATGGGAAGGTGGTGCCTACTGTAATCTTTAAGAGGTCCCAAAACATTCATAAGTATAAAATATTTTCAGCAGTTTAACTCCATCCCGTAGTACTAACAAAATTAGTAATGTTAATCATATTCTTGCCAGTGGGATTAGAGATCTACTACTGCTCTTACACATGTATATGTCAAGGGTGTATTGTCTTTTCACATGTTATCTTTTAGTAGGTACACCACTTTACAAATACAGATGTAAGATTATTGGTAAAAGTAGATATCTAACACTACTCAAGATAACAGAATTACAATTCCTCTGACAAAAGATAACAAATTTGAATACCTGAATCTGGTCACACTCTTCTACAAAGAACCGAAGCCTATCATTAATTTCTTCTCCGCGTAGTGCCTCAGAGAAGATGTCCCTTCCAATTCCATAATTGTCAAATTCTTGAGCATCCATCCATAACCCTTTTAATTCATATAAACTCTGGGGATGATAGTGCACTTTTGAAAAGTCAGTCCAAAAATGAACACCATTTTCTAGACATTCAACTATGTCTTTATCTTGGATATGATCATCCTCTTCAGCACTTGGTTTCCCATGTTCTTCTTCATCCAAACGTTGCAAGAATAAATTCTTCTTCTGAGGATCAGAAACAAGTTTTGTAACATTACCAGTCCTGCACATTGGTATAATGAGATGGTTACCTTCAACATGTTTGCATGCATGACTTAATGAAAAATGACAAAAATAACATAGAGATTTCAAATATTTTCTGAAGGTAAACAAAATTTTCATTAAAAAAAAAACAGAAACTACAAGAATGATGACCAGTAGACACTGGAGAGAAGGAGAAACTAAACCTCCATCCACCCCCAACCCATGCCAAACCATTGACAAAACACTCCAGAAGACATAAACATAGAGATGTTAAATATGACTGCCTAAATGAGTTAAGTCTATTTTTCAAGCGCAAAATAAAATGTATTTAAGACTATTGCTTGGTGCAATGGTAAAATCTAAGGCTTTATACTCAGGGCCAATTGGCCCTGAAATTTGATGGAATTTCCTTGGGCAACCCGGGACAGGAATAGGTGGAGCAATCAGAAACTCGGAGAGCAGGATCTTGACTTTATATTCAGGGCCAATTGGCAATACAAACTCTGTGAAGGCTGAATTCTTGGCATACTTCATGGGCTCCGGTTGACAAAGCAATTGGGCTTTAGACAGGTGGAGGTGGAAGGGGATTCAGAAGTAGTCATTACATAGGCTACTTGTAAGCGACATATTCCTTGGACTCTCAAACATATTTTCAGGGAAGTTGAAAGGATAGTGAAGGATTTAAATGCTAACTTTAAGTGGATTAGGAGTGCAATTAGGCTAGCTGATTCCTTAGAAAAACAAGGGGTCGCAAGGCAGCAATTCTACTGGGCTTCATTGTAATCTAGCTTGTGTAATTGGGAATGGCATCATGTAATCAATTGTACTAATCCACTTATAATTATTTTAATAAAATAACTTTTTGCTGATCAAAAAAAAAATCTCAGGATGACACACATGAGAACATGGGTTAAGTCTGAGAACAGCCACTCTTCACAGAAAAAAAAAATGCTGGAGATGAGGTATAGCATGTCTATACTTGAAATTGAAATAGACACGCTCTTTGTGCAATAATAGGAGTTATAAATTTGAAAAGTTCTCCTAATGGTCTTATGGCTTGGTTTCATAATATTGCTGCTAAAACTCCAAAAAAAAAAAAAAAAAAAAACAGTGCAAACGAAACTGTCAATAAGAGATGACTTGTCTTCTCTCAAAAGNAAACTGTCAATAAGAGATGACTTGTCTTCTCTCAAAAGTGGACAATTTGTCTCAAGAATCCACTTTCATTATCAGCTTCCCAGAAATTTATCTCTTAAGGTAAAACTACAAGCAAGAGCATATATCCTGGGGGTGTACATCATTGTGTTTCAAGCACACCATAATATAAACTGCATCAGGATATAAGATAATATGCAATAGAATAAGTCTCACCATGTACGAACATGCATTGGAGCAGATGGAATCTCATGATACAAGGAACCATGTGAACTAAGAGAACCAAGAGTTCCTGCAACTCAAAAAGACTTCAATGAAGAAAAAGTGTGAAAGCATACCCACTGATACTATTTCTCAGGAAACAAAAGCACATAAATGCGATATTTAATAGATGTAATTACCAAATATATGTTTGGATGTACAAGAAACCAGACACCACAAAGAAGAGGTGCCAAATCTTTTCTTTTAAATATGTATGTACAACAAAAAAAACAATGTGTGTTCATTAAAGATGAAAAAAATGATTACACAAAGCTTATGACAACACCTGCAAGCATGAAAACAATTGTAGGAGGAACCAAAACACAAAGACAAAACCACCATATCAAGCCCAAGCCCCAAGACTAAGGCAATAGAAACCAAAGAAACCCATAGCTACTCCAACATAGAACCAATTCTTAAAAACAAATTATCCCAGAATCAGTGTTTTAAAAAAGTGCAAGGAACACAAGGGGCATTTTGCACCCAAGGTGCAAGGCAAGGCCTGTGCCTTTTCAAAGCAAGGCGCAAAAAAGGCAAAAAATTCAAAAAAATGAAAAAATACAAAAAAAATAATAATAACTATTAAACATAATATTAATTAAAAATATAAGCTTAAGTTTTAAGATAAATGTTATAAAAAAACATATCAACTCAAATTAAAATACATAAACATAACATGTAAAACACATTCAACATGAAAATTTGAAAATAAAATCAAACATATAAAACATATTCAAGCATGTAAAACTCTCAATCTCTTTATTTTTTCCAAACTGCATTACTTCAAATAGTTTTTTTTATCAGCTACTTCAAATAGTTAATGTGATGTTAAACATTTAAAATTCCTGATTCCACGAGCCACCTTTGTATCAAGCCGCTTGAGGTAAAGCCCAAACAAGTCCATGTTAGAGTCTTAATTTCTCAATCCCTACAAAAAGAATGATTTTATAATTTTAATTGTCTTTCAAAAATTGTTTTTGGCTCAAAAATTATCTCGGGGAAGGAGTGACATAGAAAAGATTATGCTCGCATTAATTTTCTGCTTGTATTTTTGGGGAAGGGGTGAGATAGTAGGTACAAATGCTCACGTTAAATTCTTCTTTGATACTGATCAAAAAAATAAAGAGAAATAAGCAACTCATTTATCATGAGAAACTACAGAAAAAGTAACATCATCTGCCTATAGATAATACTTTTTCCCTAGGAGGAAGACCAGCCCAGTTAATGATACAATTGACCAAGTGAAATAAGTACCTTGAAAATCAATTGAAAGCAGGCGAGGAGAATATGTAGGAATGCCCTGCATATGCTTTAAGGTGTAAGCAAATGACGTCTACAAAGAAACTTGGAAGTTTTAATAGCATAATAATTTCAAAAAAAATTGTTGCAAATTGAAATCGATGAATTTATAACATCAAGACTGTATTCGAAAATGCGTGTTGTACAAGAAAACCATTCTAAGAAGTTTAAGAAAGAAAAACATTAAAAAAAAAAACAGTTAGAGAAGATCAAGATCAAAAGCACCAGTATTCCACAAGCAGTAGAATTTTCAAATGGTGATACAGACAAGATATGACAAAAAGCTAATTACCAACTTAGTTGTTCACATTAATACATACATTACTATAAATCCATGAACAATTGGAACCACTGGTGTCACAATGATAGTTTCTACAAAAGCATTTTAAAAAGGGAAAAAAAAGAATAACTTGGATAATTCAAGAGGCCCTTAAAGAATCTATCACCTTATAGTTCTCACTACCTTTAGAAGTTGAACGTTCTAGAAAGAACTCTAGTCTGTTTTGACACTTCTTTAATTGTGGCATTTTTGTGCTAGTCTATTCGCCTATCATTAAATTTGCTCCTTTTCCAATAGTCTCTCTTCGTCCACCCAAAAGAGAAGGAAATGTTCAAATTAGTGCTTGCTATACCTTGAGCACCAAAATCAAATAATAAATGCATGATCATCTACTTAATTTACCTTAATAATACAAACAGTATATTTATCATAAAAAAAAAGTGTACAAACAGCATAAAATACAACAAGAACTAAAGAAGGAATGGGATTTCCAAATCAATACACAGAACAAAGCACACATTTCTTAAATGATAATCTAGAGATTGACTTTAATAGGATCCACCTGTGGCATTTCGCCTGCACGATAGAACACATCCATATCCAAAGATTGATTCTTGAAGACTGGATCTCCATGAGGATCATCGACCAATCCAAGCAACTCATCCTTCAACATCAAGTCCATGGTAAGTTATCTAACTAATTCAACTACATAAATCAATTTACAGAAACATAATATAACAGATCATTACACAATCAAGGATCAAATAAGTTTGGCAAACCAAAAGGAAACAAGAAAAAAGCATTATCACAAAGAAAAAAGATAATCCCTCTTATAACCAGGAGAACAAGATTTGGCATTAGTTTATGCTAGGAAAACAAATAAGGCAAACAAAATGACTCCTCAAAAATCATTCATTGTCACTGACCAGCTATGATTATACTCACTGTACAAGGAGTTGTTTTTCCTCATTCCTCTATTGATATATATAATACAAAAGTTGTTATTGGAATAAATGTATAAAGAAACCACCAAATACTCCTATAAGGTAGGAAATCCAAATCTTTAACTTGTAAAGAAATGGAAGAAAGCCCCATCATGAAGGCAGATAGCCTATTATACATATGTGGACATAACAAGAGTTTCACATTTCAACAAGCATACAGGGTAATCTTTGTGTAAGCAGTTCAAGCCTTCAAGGATACATCTAGCAGCTCTTTTTTGAGTTTAGTAATCTTTTTTCAACCATGCATACAGATTATAGTGTCCAGAGAGGATAATGACTCTTGTATAGTATCTTATTGAGCAGGGATTTGTATATGTTTACCTTGTCTTTTAAAAAACATAAAATAAAATAAAGGGTGTTGGCCACGACAAGCTATCATAACCTACAAGCATGGAAACTGCTATAAATATACAAATTAAAAATGTACATAAGTAGGCATATGTATTTGTATATTTTGATTTGTCTTGCAAATCATGCCACCTACCTAAGTTAACCAAAGGCTAGTTCAGACAATAGATTAATACATAAATTCATTAAAAATCAGGGCAGAGACTTAAAGCATGCCGCAAAACTCTACCTGAAAGTTCCAAAAATGAGATCCAATGAAGTTAGCAAAACTTCCAACTTGGATTGTTACGATCTCCCTCATCACTGTCCATCAAAAGAAAGTTTTACTAAGTGATGTGCTAAAAGCATGACATGACAGAATAATTGAACAGCCCTTGTGCTAAGATAAAATTAGATGAGGAAAAAAAGGTACTGAACAATATAATTAGATAAGTATGGAGTCATCTTAAGTTGTTTTTGTTACAGGAATTAAAAGGATTGAGCAGTACTTTATTGTATTTTGAGAACCTTGAAAATCAGGACCTATATTCTCAGGGAGGAGATGACAAACAATAAAAATGAAAAAAACACAAAATTCTACAGTACAAATGTAAGAAGGATGTTGACACCATAGAAATACCTTTCCAAAATTTATACCATTTGATGATCCAACCTCATGTAGCATCTCTTTAGATGCAGGTGGACGCCCTGGAAGAAATGGGTAGTCTCTTTTAAGGTTTCTTTCTTCTCTCCACCTAAGAAAAGACTACTCTGAACCTAGATTAACCATGACTGACTTGATGATTGGAGGGATCTTTTCTTTTTCTTTTTTACAGAAATAGAATTACCTTTCCAATAGCATACTCAATGCAATGGAACAAAGCCTCCATATGGGTTCAGCTATATGAATCTTGTTCAACCATTCAACTCTATCAAGGGTCATAACCTTTTTAGGTGAGCCCTCAGATAATTTATCACTATCAAAACCAGTATCTTTTCCAGCCTCCCTCTGCCTCTTCTAGAGATATCAACTTGCAATTAGATCAACTCCTTGATGTGCAATAGATGGTCTTCTAAGAACATGCAATAGATGTTCTACTTTTCCTTGTTCTATCACCTATTGAGGCTACTATAGATTTCCACAAACAAAAAACTATACCAAATAGAATGTCAACCAAATAATAAAGAACAGTAACATGTCTAATCTATTATAGTACTATAAGATTCATGTAACAACATAAGTAAATAACTAAAAGTGATCCAAGTGAACAAATATGAGTAAAAGATCATTTTTCACTACAAGGGAAGAAAAGACAACCACATTGACATAAGTGGGCAATGCCATGATGGTAATACAGCCGAATAATAAAAGGCAAAGACCATGAATAGTTTATCACAAGTAGACCTGTTCATGGGCCGGGTAGCCCGATGGCCCGGCCCAGACCGGCCCGCACCCCGGTCGGGCTTGGTCATGTAATTAGGCCCGCGGGCCTGACCTCAGGCCTAACACAGTAAGCCCGATTGTGTTTCAGGCCGGGCTCAGGATTTGTCAAAAAAACCCGGCCCGGCCCGACTCAGCATTATATATTTTATAAAATATATAGTATGTATTTTATAGATTATATAAAATATATAAATAATATAATATTTATTGAAATATATATTTATAATTTAATATATACATTTTTTATTCTTTTCTTTATAATTTCTCTCTCTCTCTCTCTATTCAGCCGCTTCAGCAGTAGTAACAGTATGGGCTAAATTTCGGGCTCGGGCCTTCGGGCTTTTTATGAGGGCTGGGCTCGGGCCCAAGTTGTAAGCCCGATGGTCGGGCCGGGCTCGGGCTCGGGCCTTAGAAAAATCTGTTAATACAGAGTGAAAGCCCGGCCCGGCCCAGCCCATGAACAAGTCTAATCACAAGATGTATTTACAACCATAAATACGAGCTCCAACAAGCTTAGCACTATGTTTCTCTAATAAGCCATTTAAATTAATCAGCAACCAATAATTTAGAGGCTGTTTGGCATTGTTGTTGTTGTTTGAAGTTTCAATGTTTGTACTTGAGCATCCACACAAGCACCATGTTGGCATTTTGGTTTACCAAACCTACATGTTTGGTTGGGCAGATTCAAGTATAAAATGTTTATACCATCCTTCACACAGGGTTATGTGCAAGCCACTTTTGGAGGATACACCTTTTTGACATGTCCTCCTTTATTGGGACATTTCCACTTCCAGTGTCCTATGTGGTGCCTAGTGGCACTGATGTGTGAGTTATGTGCAAAACGCCCTACTTTCCCCCAAGTTCCAATACTAAAAATCAAGTACAAAATTGCCACTTCAACCAACCACAGTACCAAACAACCTCTTAAACTCCCAGCTAATGCTTATAAAACAATAGCATATTTTTAAAAGTTGTATATCTGAATCTTCTCATATGAAGAAATATATTTATAGATTACAAGATTAAAATGAGAATGGAAGTCATGAAGCTTTTAGATCTCCTGAAAATTTCCACTTACATATCATATCTAACAAACAGAGAAAGGAATGGTGAAACAGGATTCATGTAGCTGACCCCATATAGTTGGGACAAGGTGTAGATGATGATAATTATCATATCTAAAAAGCACAGCACAAACCTTACTATATAGGGGCACATAAGTTAACAATGTTTTGGTGGATACATATTTATAATGTTTCAAGAAAAACACTATGGTAACCCCTAGGACGATGGCAATGTCCAAAACTAATTTGAGAATGCATGCATATAAAAAATTCAGGATCCAAAAGTGGCAATATGAGGACCACCATTGTCCAATGACCAGCTTAATATTTAATATCATTTGTTTTAATGTTTTGACGAATACTAATCTTGTTACCAGGACAACAAGGAAGAGAATGAACATGTGTATCTCCTTTGCCCAGCAGACCAGCATAGTATTTTTATACCCTTATCTGGATGATCCCATAGATTGTTGTGACATGTTGTTTCAAGCTTGATATGAATTAAGGAGTACAAACACTATGCCCAAAATAGCGGGAGAGGAAATTCAAAACACCCACCAACAACAAGTATTTAAAACAAACCAAAGGTTCTCAGCATCAACAAAGAAATTTTTGTATAACTCGTCTCAATCAGTGGACTACAGATTCCTTTCGTTAAACAGAAGTAACTAAATAAGAGAGACAAATCCTAAGTAGAAAATCAAAGACACATGAGATAAACAATTGGTTTAATGGGCAATCAAATTGAACTCAAAAATTAAGGTGAATGCTAGAATGGATTCTATATACTTGTAGAATTTACGTAAGCAGAGACCTCAAAGAGATTTAATAACTGCTTAAAAACAAAATATTGAAGAAATCATAAATTAATTAATCAACTGCCTTCTGCCTATTTCAATTTGCATCCGCTGCAGGCAAAGTAGGCCTGTCAATGATACCTGAAAATCCGAGCCCAAGCCGACATCCAATCCGATTATCTCGGATTCGGATGATGTGTTTATATAATCGGATTGGATTCGGATGTTGTGATCTACACCAGATTAATAATCGGATTGGATTCGGATTTGACCCCATCCAATCCGATTATATTATAATATTGTTAATGTCGACTGTGTAGGAGTATTTTGGTCTTTATATTTATGTTTAAAGCTGCTGATGTGTAATGTTTTGTTAGTGATTGTGTCCCATACTTAAGTAGGGGCATAGGAGTCTTTTGTCTTTTGAATAGAAACTTATAAATTAAAGCTGGCTGACTAGAGAGGTGATCAATCTCTCTAGTTCGAACCAGAACTCTTCTCCTTCTCTATTCTCCTCTCTTCTTCTAGTCTTTCTATTACTTCTTCAACCCTCATTCTAACAGAATTCTAGTGCAGATTAGGTTTATAATATGGTATCAGAGCCACTGTGACAAAATCGAATCTGCCCAGAATTCTGATTTTCTCACATCCAACCTAGGGTTTTTTTTTTTCATCATCAGTTGGAGATAGGGAAAGGGGCTGAAAAGGAGTGATCGTCCTCTTCCCTTGGAGGTTTCTATGCCTCTGGTCAGCAAGTTTGTGGGATCACACCAGATTAATAATCGGATTGGATTCGGATTTGACCCCATCCGATCCGATTATATTATAATATTTATTGGCTTTAATATATAAATTTTATATAGTTATACTTAAAATATAAAAAATATATTTATATATATTATATTATAAATGAAGTTATATATAATAATAAATTCAGTATGTTCTATTTATATTAATTTATTATATATAAAAGTTGAAAAGTAATTAATTTTTTTATTTTTTTGGTATTTTAAAAAATTAAAGTGGAGTCGGATTCAAATTTGAATCCAAGGTCTTCAAATCCAATTAGATTTCAGATCGGATTCGGATGCATGTTTTCAGTAGTTAGACCAGATGTGGATTTGCTGAATCCGATCTGATTACAGCCCTATGGCAAAGGGGTTTCAAGACACGTACTTTCTGTTAGTCCATTCTAAAGAAAAAACAAGGAAACATGATACTCACTGCTTTCTCTAGCAGCTGGGAAGAGTTGGAGAGGCGGCAACTCAAAACCCTTTTGCACCAAGCAAGCAGGTACTCATGAGAGAAGGTCGCGGTGACAATGATACTCACTGCTGGATTATTGAAACTCGCCAAAAGAGATAAACAAAAGTCAACTCGAGGCTTAAATCTAAGCATTCAAGTAGGGTCACACCAAAACCCACGGTCCTGTACTCCTGTTATACACTATAAAAAGCTGTATGAGCCACTTCAGATCTGCTAACCACAAACTGATCCCACACCCCTGCCCACAGAACCAAGGTTTTAAAAGGCTAAAGGCAGAGGTGAGAATTAGATAACCTAGACATACAAACTAAAATTGCTTGTAATATTTTATTTATGCATTAAAGATACAATTAATTTGTTTCCTCACATAAAAAATTGTTTCATATCAATTTTTTACATTTACTTTCATGTATATATTTTGTATGTTTACTTTTTTTGATAATTTTTTAATGTTTTACATTCATATATATTTTTTAAGGATAAAAGACTTAAACATACCCTGGGTTTTCATAAATTGGCTTAAACATACCCTGAGCTTTTAAAATGGATTTAGAAATACCTTGTAACTCTTTTACCCTTCATTTTCTTTCAAGATTTCAAAAAGAACCAAATAGAAGTGTGAACGTCGGGAAAATGCTCAGTTCACTTCCATGGCCAAATGAATGGAGTCGCCACCCATCAGAGTATGATGGGTGGCGAAATTGCATTCAGTAAAATATTTTGGGATTAATAGTGACTCCATACCATCCAGTAAAGACAAGACTATTCTGGGTAAGTTGAGAGAGAGAGAGAGGGAAGGGATTAGGCACCCCTCTCTCTTGTCGGTGTGAATACCAGAATCCCAGGGGCTGAGTAAAAGAATGAGGAATCCCTCACCCCTTTTCTATCAGAGCCCCCACCTTCGGACTCAGTAAACTGGTCTGAAGAGTGAAGAGACACGCTAGCCCCTCGGTCACCGGAGAGCACTCCGATTGCAGAACTGAACCAACGAGAAACGACCACCAAAAGCAAGCAAGTCGACAAAAAAGAATAAAAACAGAAAAATAAATAAGCAAATGGAAGACTAAACTACATTAGCGAACTGCTAAATCCACCTCAAGCAAGGGAAGAAGAGGATGAGGTAGTGGATTTTACCTCCTGTGACCTTAAGAATGGAGATGCTGCAGAGTTCGCGTGCAGAGGTTCAGCGTGTAGCTGGATTTTTTATGCTGCCGAAACCTTAGCTCGCGATGGCAGAAGGACGAATCTGAGATACTAGGAACGGCACTAGGATCTGTAGTGGGTGTGATTGGCAATGACAGTAGAGGCGGCCGACGGAAAGGGAACAACTCATCTCCCCCTTTTCTTCTTTCTCTGCCCTTTTCTATCTATCGCCCTCAGAGGAGCTTCTCCCTCTTCTTCTCTAAACTTCACCTAACAATCTCTCTTTCTCTGAAAACCCTCTCTGTTTTTCTTCTCTCACTCGAGCTCTCTCTCCCCTATTCAACTCGGGGGTTTTCATATACCCTCGAGCTGCTCTTCCCCTCCACTTTGCTCTCTCTCACAGTCTCACCTATTCAACTCGGGATACCCCCGAGCTTGTCTCCCTCTCCTTGTTCCTCCCTCAGCTCTTTCCATTCGGCAGCCTTTTGGCTTCCCAAAAGAAAAACCGACGACAGAAAGACCTCTCCTCCCAACTTCTCTATTTCGACCTTCTCTCACCCGACCCTTCTCTCCTCTGATCCCCCGTTCTTGGAATGGAGAAGGGTAATTTTGTAATTCTGGTAAGAAGGGCAATTTGGTAATTTGAGGGCTTTGGGTTTCCTAACAATTTGGAGCAAAAGGGTATTTGGGTAAGGGTACATTAGGAAGGACAATTTCAGTATTTTTTGTGAATAAGGGCAGTTCGGGAATTTGGGATGGAGGGTGATTTAGCCCGACCTCAACGGGACACATGTACGTGACTCAACATGAATGACAACTCGACATGAGCAGATCGACACATGGACATGACTCAACGCAGATGACAGCTCAGCAAGTATCAGTTCGCCTTAGAATGAGCTCGAGTACAACAATGACCCGAGTTTAAGGTACTTCGGGTTGGGTCCATCGTAGTTCGTGAACTAAAACGACCAAGTTCACGACAATCTAGACCCAAGCAAATGAGCCACCCCGAATACGACTTACCTCGGGCAGAATCACCTCGGCATGCCTCTAGCAGCTTGACACAAGTAGCTCACCACAAGGTAGCTCGCTACAGGGTTCGTTATCAAGTAGTCAGCTTCCTATCTGACAGCCATACCTATCAACCCTGAAAGCTGCACCCACGTCCTTTGTCTAGCGGTGCAGTGCCTGCCAATTCTGAGGGTTGCACTCATTGTCTCTCACCTGGCGGCGTCGTGCCTGCCAGCCCTGGAGGTTGTCTCCTACTTGGCGGGACCGTACCCTACAATGGTCACATGAGCCCACCTACTCCCTAGTTCTAATGAGGATACCCAATCACTCCAACCGTTATTTGACAGCAAATCGCCATGGCAGTGGTTTGGGAGCAGACCCTCCAAACCAGCCAGAATGTTAGTATATAAGGACTTCAACCCCCCCAGGGATCAAGGTATTGCATATTCACCACTCCCTAGCTTTCCCATCTTCTTCCAAACTTACTCTCTTCCAGCTCGCCACTGATTACTAACTCAAGCATCGGAGTGTTCCTGTCGGGTGAGCAACCCCGGGTTCTTTCATCTCTCTTCACGTAGGTATCTCTTGCCCGACACCAGTTAGAAGCTCAGTCACTTCCAGCTATGAGTGGTCGGATTGTGCATCATCAGAGGGTATTTCGGGAATTTGGTCAAGAAAAATATTGGGGATTTAGCGTGGGGATATTTTGGTAATCTGTCAAGGGTATTTTGGGAATTTGGTCAGGGGTATTTTAATAATTTGGGCAATGACATTTTGGAAATTTAGTCAAATGGGTATTTTGGTAATTGTGAAAGAAGGTAATTTTTTGTAATTTGATCAAAGACATTTTGGGTATTTAATCAATGATATTTTGCTAATTTGGAAAGAGGGAATTTGGACCGCTGGTTCCTCCTTTCGGAGCTCGCGCCTTGGGCATGCTGTTGTGCCGAGTTGTTGCCTTTGCCACGTGTTGAGTGATTATGAGGTCGGGTCAAATCTTCCTTCATTAATTGCCCCCACTCCTCGCGCTAAGGGACTTGCCCTGGCGCGGGGCGTTTGTGAGGTGGTGGGTGGATTTGTCCCGTACTTCGAACTGGTTTTGACCGATAGCGCGAAGTGCGCGCTTGTCAGGATTTTTTCCGGGTTTCCTCGAGCGCCAAAAAGACGGGAAACGCACCAATCTGTCTATAAATGCTGATAGGCGTAACGACGCGCGCCTATTTCAAAATTCAAAAAGCTCGCCGCTGGGAGACATGACAGCGGGTGTCTTTTCAAATTTGAAAAAATGCGCCGCTGCCGCCTTTAATGTGAGGAGACGTGTGCTGGCGCCTTTTTCAGTTTCAGAAAGACGTGCGGTCAATCACGTCTCGGTCTCAGGAGACATGCGGCCAGTCATGTCTCGGCCTCTGAGACGTGCAGTCAGCGCGACTGCGGGCCATCGGATTGTCTTTGATCTGAGCCATTGATTCTCTGTTACTGTGGGCATAAATAGTGGGGGACCCCAGTCGCTATCACTATCATGCGTTTTGCTTCTTGAGCTCGCGTCTCAGTTTCAGTTCGCGTCCCAGCTTCTAGCTCGCGTTCACATTCCCGTAGTCTGTTTGCTTTTTTCCGGGTGAGTACTTTCTTGTAATCCTTATTCTTCTTTCAATGTCTAGCTCGGATAGCTCAGACAGTTCTTCAAGGGGGTCGGATGCAGGTTCTATGAATCGAGTTGCATCCCTCGACAGTCCTAGTGAACCTGAGGTAGAACTCGATGAAGAGTTCGAACCCGTAGGCCGAGTCACCTCAGGTAGCTTGGTGTCCTCCTCTCGTCGAGGTCGGGCGTTGGACAAGTTTGGGCCTTCGACCATGACGCTCGAGGGGCTTCATTCCCTTATCACACAGTTCAACTTGCCTAGGGAGTACACCTACTTCATACCTTCGGGCAGTTTCCCTTGGGAACACGGTCCTGATGAGATCGTGATATTCTGGGAGCAGCTTGCTGCTGGGTTGCGCCTTCCTTTCCACCCCCTCATTGTCGAGGAAATGAACCACTTCGGTGTTACAGTCGGCCAGCTTCACCCGAACTCCATTCGTAACTTGGTGGGGACAATCTCCCTATTTTGCGATCAGGTCTTGCCTTTAGACTTGGAGATCTTCTCCTCCATTTTAATGCTTAAGAAGCAAGCAGGTCCCCTTCCCGAGCGTAGGTGGGCGTATTATCTGTCTCCTCGCCCGGGTTTTAAGCTTCTACACGAACTTCCTAATAAGGTCCCGGCGTGGAAATGGGACTACTTCGGGGTGCGAAGTGAATTGGGGTGGCCGTTCCAAACCGGGTGGGGGATAGCTACCCCTGACGCCGGCGTTACGCTTGATAAGGAGACGGTGAAGGGCCTCCGACAATGGGCACGGCTTGGGCTAAAATGCCATCATTATCTGACGGAGGCCAAGCTCATTGCGGCCGGTCTGAGTTTGGGTAGGTTCCTTACTCAGAGGTTTTTTGTTTTGCTTCGTTCTTTCGTTTTTTCTGATGCCGAGTTCTTTTCGCAGGTGTGATGGACTCAGAAAGGACTCGTGGTGGGCACCTGTTTCACGGCATGAAGAGGAGGAAGCGAGTCACCAAACGAACTCGTGCCGAGCTGTCCCGAGATGCGAAGCCCGAGGTACCAGACTACCTGTCAGAGGATCCGCCCAGGGAGCCCGAGATGGCTCCTCCAATGCAAGAAGTGGTAGGGGCCCCTTATGTTGAGGCTACTTACACGGAGGCTCCTGCTTACTCTGGGTCTGCTTGCACGCGAGCTGGGCCCTCAAGCTCGGGAGCTCAAGGGGAGTTCAGAAGCGTGTTGTCGCCGAACCACGCTCTTCAGAAGAGTAGGGAGGCCATTTACCCCGAGGAGGTTGCGGCGTGGACCGATCTTCCTTTGAACCAGGTGGCTTGTCGTGCTGCCACTCATGCCATGGTGGTAAGTCAGTTTTCTCGTCGGGCTCTTTGCTTTTATCTCTCTTGCTGTCGTTCTTTTGATCACTTGTTCTTTCCTTTTGGTAGGTGAATTCTTCTATCCATGCCTTGGCGGCCCATATGGAAAGGAGCTCGAGGCAGGCGCAAGCTGTCGAAGAGGCTTTTCGTGCTGCCGAGGCGACTTCCCGAGCTGCTAAGGCAGCTGCTCGCGTTGCACAGACCAGGCAGGCGAGGTCACAGAGAGATGCCGAGGCCATGGGAGTCGTAGTGAAGCACATGGCGGACCTGAGGCTGGATTTGCAACATCAGGTCGAATACCTTCAAGAGGACACAAATCTTTTCTCAAGGCATTGAAGATGCCAAGAAGAAGGCCGTCGATGAGTACATCGCCGCGCCGCGCTTTGATGACCTGATGGTGGACTCGTACAGAAGGGGTTTTAAACTAAGCCGGTGGATGATCCGGAATACGTACCCCGAGCTCGATATTAGTGCCATATCCACTTCGTGCATTACTCAGGAGATGGCCAACGCCGCTGATGGTGAGCCGGATTCCGAGGGCGAGGCAAGACCTTCGGGTATCGTTGAAGTGCCTTCTGATGGTGAAGAAGTAGCTCCGGGCCTGTAATGGAATGATTTTTTTTTTTTGAAATGTACACAAAGTACTTTGCAATGGAATGATTTTCTTTTGATTGTTGGTCGCTCTTTCCTCCGAACTGGTCGTATTGCCGAACTGACCATATGCCGATGCCCCTATTAGTTCGTTGTTGGCACTTTGCCTAAGCTTTTAGTTGGCATTTTTTGCCTTTGCTTGCCGCCGAGGTCCTTGTTAGCTCGGCATCCTAGCCCTTTGGCTCTGGTAGTGACTTGGTCCACTTCGCTTGGTGATCTATAGGTAGTATCGTCTCAGGTTAACGACGTTCCAACCTCGGGGTACATGTTTGCCCTCTAAAGTTTCGAGCTCGTATGCCCCCCCGAGCGCTCTCTTAACTCGGTAGGGCCCTTCCCAATTCGATCCAAGTTTGCCCACGCCGGGCTCAGGTGCCATGATCTTACGGAGAACCAGGTCGCCGACGTGGAAGTTCCGCTTTTTTACTCTGGCGTTGTAGTACCGAGCTACCTTTTGCTGGTAAGCTGCGGTCCGGATGTATGCGAGGTCTCTTACCTCGTCCAGTAGGTCGAGGTTGGTACGCAACTCATCTCCGTTTGTTTGATCGTCGTATGCTTCTAGTCGTAGTGTAGATATTTCGATCTCCGCCGGGATTACAGCTTCAGTGCCGTAGGTGAGGTTAAAAGGGGTTTCTCCTGTGGCGGTTTTTTCCGTGGTTCGGTGAGCCCATAGAACACTTGGTAGCTCGTCCGCCCATAACCCCTTAGCTCGGTCCAATCGTGCTTTCAGTCCGCGGAGGATAGCTCTGTTCATTACTTTTGTCTGACCATTCTTTTGCGGGTGTGCGACCGATGTGAAGTTTTGCCGGATTCCAATACCTTGGCACGGCTCCTGAAACTTGATATCCTCGAACTGCTTGCCATTGTCGGAGACTAGTACCCGAGGTAACCCGAAGCCGCATACTATGTTCTTTCAAAAGAAGTTCTGCACGTTTCAGGTTGTAACTGTT